ATGATTCTGGAGTCTGGGCACACTTTGAAACACTCTAAACACTGCAAAAGGAGAAAAGTAATGCTTAAAGACAGGATATGACACCAGACTATGGAGTCTAGATACTGAACTGTAAATGAAACTGGTCTTGAGTCTACAAATCTATGGTGGCTTCCAGCTTGGCTTCTAGCAAAACAAGAGGGTCCCCAACCTTACACGTTCATTTGCCCTGGCAGTTGAAAGTTCATTTCCCTAATTAGAAGTTTTGCCTCTAAGACACAGAGGCCCTGTGACAGACAACCCATTTTATTTTTACCTGATGGCCCACTGACACTAGGAGTTCCGATCAGTTGTGATGTAAATCTTAGGCGCTCTGGGGGTTTTGTTTTTGCCTGGCTCTCAAGAAGGTTTTTGGGAATGGCAGGCCTTGGGGGTGGGGGGGAAGAGAGGGAATTAGTAGGGAGAGAAAAATGGGAGCAAAACTTTGACCTGCTAGAGAGGAGCCCCTGCTGACACGGTCAGTCTGACCCATTGAATGGCCTGAATACGATAAATGCCGCTTTATCCCGCCTTGAAAGGCAGGAGATAGCACAGTCTAAATGCCTGGGCATGCTTAAATCGGCGACTCGGGATGTTTGAGTTGAGTGTGTTTGAAATCTGAGCCCTCTGACAGCCTGGGAGCTGCCACAGGTCACCTGCCTTGCTCTGTAGGGACAGGCCCAGGTCTCACAAGAAATTGTCCATAGACGAATTGTAGTACAAATTCCTTTCTTTGTTGGTTGGCCTCTTTCACTAGACCATGGCCTATAAAATTTTGTAAAAACAATTCTTAAATATTATTTGAAAGGGCAAATGGCCCACGCTGAAAGGTTTGACAGTTTGACATATAGTGCATGGTTTTGATAGCTCGGAAACTGAAAAGTGTGGCCAAGATTCTCCTCCTGCTTGTTAGAAGCCTGGTGTTTTTTAAATAATGTCTTGTTGCTGTGCAGAGTTCCTTTGCTCCTCGAAATCTGACAGGCAATGAGTCTGCTTCAGTGATCTTAAATCCTTTTAGAATAATTTGTGAGAGAGCAGAGATACAGCTAGCACCTTGGAATCCAGCGTTCACAAGCACAGAACTAGGTATGGCCAATTAAGGAGCCATTCAGACAATCATAGCAAAGCAGATTGCTGTAGAGTCTTCTGATAGAGCTAGAGCCAATGCCCAGAAAGAGAGGAGCCTAGAGATTCACGTCAGATAGGTGAAGAAAGAGATTTGAGTGGCCAGGTCTAATCAGAGCCCAGGAAGTTGCAGGGAGTGGATTTCTTTCTGCATTAGAATGTTGCATATATGCAGCTGTGTGCACGCTTCGCCCGCCCAGTGCTGCCTCTGCATAGCCAAAGGCCATTTTCAGGAGCCTCTGGCCCCTCAGTCACTGGCCTACTGGTTAATTGCCACACGGACTTCATGACACATGGGCAGATAATATGACATTTTCAGTTTCTGTCACTAGCAAACGCCACAACGTTGCTTGCACTAGTTGCTAAGAAGCTGTCAGAAACCATTAGCAGTTGGCTAAAGTTGCCCTATGGCATTTCCTCATAGCATCAGCAAAACGAGCATAAATCACCCACTGGAGCCTACTGCTATCCTAATGAGGCTGTAAGCTTGTTTATGGACTAGCATCATTTTTATGATTATTTCCACCTTTTCAGTTTGCCTTCATTTGGTGGCAGGAGAAGTCAGCTCCAGGAATGAAGTCACTGCTGACATTTTACAAATGTGGTTCAGAGCTGCTGCCTGCTGCCGTGTGGTCGGCCAGCGGTTCTTCAAGTTTGTTTAGTGATCTTAATAATAATAATAATAATAAACGGGAATAAATCCTCTGAGACTGCAAAGAGGTGACTGTATCAAATTGCAGAGTGAATGGAAATGCTAAAGGTACAATTGACCATTTAGACTCTCCTCTGAGGTTGGGACGTTGGGAGATCAATTTTCAATTCCAGAAAGTGGAAGAGGTTAAACAATTTATTAAAATCTATGAAAGTGTTTGCTTTTAGAATCGTCTGTTTTATTATGCTCTTCTCCTTCCCCATCTTCTCCATTTCCCTAACTGTGTTGGGAAGGAGCAGGGTTTATTGTTTTAGGCTTTTCTGAACATGCACCAGTATTTACACTGGATTGAAAGCATTTGCTTCCAATGAAAATCTTGTCTTAGATTACAACCCAGCAGTGTAATTTCCCTCCCAGATGGGAGTAAAGTAGCTGTATTTGCCTAAAAACAGTAGGAAGAACAAACTGTGCATTAAGCCAAGGCTGTTTTTGGCTTGAGCTAATGATGTAATAGAAACCTTTTATTCAGGAGAGGTCACTGCCAGGGACTGAAGGGGGTGATCTGGCTCCTGCTTGAAAGGTTTCTCCATTGTATCTACATAAGTCTTCACTTAAAAAATCCTGTTCCTAATGCTTCTGCTTTCATACAGCAGAAATAAACAGGAAAGGTTCTGGTGAGTGTTACACATGGAATGCAGAAAGCCTTCCTCTCCTAATGGAGTATATAATTCAGGTGCCCTCAAGGCACGCTTTCAGGAATTCTTTTGCCTGAGGTAATGGGAAGCTAAGGCTGCTTTAAGGCCTTGATTATCTATTGATGCACAAAGCTGGAAAAAAGTCATCTCCACTGGATTATAGTAGATATTTCCATAAATTATCAATGAATTCTCTTCTAGGCAGGCACTAGGCATTGCTTGCTAAATTAATCTGAAGGGGTTTGAGATGGATAAAAAGGCTATTTTTTTTTTCAAGGTGGAAGACAATCATGGAGAGGTGGGGAAAAACAGTATCGTTAGGTTAGAAGCCCTTTTTTTTAATCAATGATAAAGTAATACATTTCTTTTCCTTGGTTACCTGTGCATATTGAAAGTGGATTAGCCCATTGAAATTTTAAATGCTGTGAGTTGTTTTCTTTTCTCATGTTTCTTTAATGAATTGTTTTTTTGTATGGTGAATTGCTTCTCCATATAAAAAGCCTCTTTAAATACTGGACTTTCAAAGAATTTATTAGGCAAATCCAAAGGGACTTCTCATAAAACACTTGCTTATGCAAATAAAGAGCTGGGCAGGGTACAGGAAAATTGATTTAGGGGTATGGGTGTCTGCTCCAGTACAGAGGCCAATGTCTTCATGTCTAGCCATGTGACCTTGAGCCAGTCATGAAGCATGGAACTTTTCATTGATACAATGACTGATGGCTTTAGAGCTGGGGGTCTTCATGATATTTTCCAGTAAGAGCTCAGGCTACAATTCTGTGGAATTTTAGCCACATAAATTGTAAATACAATAAAATTATAAAATGTAAACTCAGAAAAGTTCTGTGAAAGTTTCCCATTTGTGGCATAGTTATAATAATAGAAATGTTGAAATCAGTCTTTTCCTTAGCCAACAAAGTTTTTCAACCTTAGTTCAGTACAAGTCAAGGCAGTGAAAAAAATTGGGGGGGGTGTACTTTATTTTTTCAGGGATGAGAGTTGAATCTCCTGAGGGAGCTGTTAAGAACAATTGACACATTGCAACACACTACTATAGATTAGACTGCAATAACTGAAACCAAAATAGAGAATTACTTTGTACAAAGGACCTTCATAGTAGGAATGAAAAATACAGAAGCTCATGAAGCCATGTTTATGAATCTGAGGCTAATTTCAATGTACAGTCACCAGGAAACTTGTCTTCCTAAAGTATGTTCTTTGGGCCATGTAGATTGTTCTCCAATGACGTGCTCTGGGGTGTTTTTGTTACCTCATATCTAAGTCTGGCCACTGTAGCTCTTCTTTCTGGGTCCAGACCAACCTGTTCATTTCTAAATGGACTGTCTCTCTCACTGAGAGTGGGGCCTAGGTAGCTCACTGGAGGAGGATGTTTGACAGAACTTAGCTACTTATTAATGTAGCAGGTTGAGTTCATTGTTGTTTGCCCTTTTGACTTTTGTGCCAAGACAGAAAATACCTACTTTCCATTTGCATCTCATGACTTATTTTGGACACTGTGATTATATGGGTGGAAATATCATTTCTTTTCTTATCACATATAGCTTTATAAAAAGAATACTATTTTCTTATTTCATAGTGTCATAGAGACAAAATATTTTCTAGAAGAAACAATTTAAATGTTATAACAAAAATCAGTAGAAAATAGGATCCAATATAGAGGAATGTGTTACCAGGTGACATTTCAATGAGGAAAATTAAAATTTAGAAGATATTTTAGAAACTGCCTGGATTATTAGTGTCATAAGATTCACATATAATTTAGCATTGTTTTATTTGATTTAAATAGCAATTATTTTTTAATTAAAATATTATGTCAGGAGTTTTTCCCCTTGGTAAGCATGATGCTCTTCCTACTATAAGAAAAATTATATTCTACTTGAAGCATTCCCGTGACAAACTGCTTATATGATGGATTGCCTACATTTCCTCCATCTTAGTTTAGTCTTAAGATAGATCACTGGTGGAAATAGTTGCTATCTTAACTGCACCTTCTCACAATTTGATATCATCAATGACTATATGTGGAATTCAAATATCCAGGCAGTGACAGCACCATTGCTAATGGCTGTCACCATATTTTTAACTCCCCAGTAGAGGTACATATCGTGTGTCTCATTCATATATATATATATGTGTGTGTGCCTATATATATATATATATATATATATATATATATGTATATATAAGCACACATATATAATATATATGTAATAATTGCCATGGCATCAAAGCCACTAAATAGATTTGCTATTTCCCTCCATTCCCTTTTATTAGTACTGTTCTTTGGAAGAAGTTCTTTAGAGCTAATTACTTTTGAGCCTAGGCCTTGTTCTTTCTCTTTGTCTTAAAAAAAAAGTACCAAAAAAACTATTAATCATTTAATAGTTAATTAATTTGCTCTTTTGGTTTTGTTTATATCCAAAGGCATTCTATTTGAATAAAGCATGTCAAGGTAGCATCAGTCAAAATTTGATTCACTATGTTTGCAGGTGATGGCTTGGACAACAGTGTAGCTTCCCCCAGCACAGGTGACGATGATGACCCTGATAAGGACAAAAAGCGTCACAAAAAGCGTGGCATCTTTCCCAAAGTAGCCACAAATATCATGAGGGCGTGGCTGTTCCAGCATCTAACAGTAAGTGGAATCTAAATGACATATGTAAACTAAATATGGGCTATGAACCAGTTTTGATAGAGAAAAAACTGATCCCTTTGGACTTGAAATATTTCATAAATCACTGTTTTCCCACAGTCTTTACCAGTATCAGCGCTTGTTTCCTAGGTACCCAGGAACGAGGAGTTTTATTTGAAGTTCACTATTGCATTTTTGTTAACTCTTGTAAGTTATAAGGCTTAGGAGTTCATGTGCACTTGTGATTTTAAGTATGTATGTTAATGTCGCTTTTCTAAGTGTGACCCTAAACGTACTTAGAACCAGCTCCCGCTAAGAAGAAAGACCAACCCTAGGGAGAAAGGCAGTATCTCTAGTGAATATTTCAGTGGGCCTTTATCATTGAATGGTCCTCAAAAATGTAAATCAGGTTGCCATGGCAAGATGGTCACATCATTTGCTGTTCAGTGGCTTGAACGCATCAGCTTCCAGCACAGAACATTCATGTGAGTCAGCGCTCCCCAGTGAAAGTTGTCTCTGCGTTTAGAACTGTAAAGGAAAACAGCAATATACAGTCGGTTCTTCCTGTGTAGTCCCTTGTGACTTTTTGAGCAGAGTCACAGTTTATATTGTCTGTGTGAGTGCTGCTGTTTTCACTGCAGGAATTCTCCTGGAGATGTGAGAAACTGGAGATTTGGGGCTTTATGCCACCGGGGAATTTGTTTTGTTTGGTTATTGTTCTGAATGAATTTCATGTTCAAAATATTTATAATCATAATATTTTGGTGAATATTTTTGTAAGTGCATGTGGATTTGATGACATCTGAGGAAGAAGCCAACATGAAAATTTATGGATAGAATAATATTTTAAAAATTGGCAAAACTGTTGACCAGGAGATTTTTAATATTAGGGACAAGGGATAAATTTAGACAGGTTGTAGCATAGCTACACAGATGAATGGGGTTAAAAACTCTTGACTTTTCTAATGTCAAGAACAAATCTTTTATGTTACTCTTTTGTTCTTTATTTTATTTTATTTTTTTAGCTTAGATTGTACTTAAAGTCATTTTCCCTTTAGACATCAAGGTTAATTTCTGCATTGTCAAAAACATGTCCAGAGCCTGATGACATTCAGTCCCTTCCCCACTTTCCATGTCCTGTTCCTCAGTGAATGGTCATGGTACACGGAGTGACACTCAAGGGACATCTGAAGGCCTCCTTAGTTTTCCTGCTATGGATAGGAGCTGTGACTCCAATAACAGGGTCTGAATTATCCCATGTTTTCCAGTGTTGCTGAATAAAATAAAAACTTAGAGCAAGCAGCAGCAGTAGCTACAGTAGTTTCCTTCCTTCTTTTCTTCTCACAATGATTCTAAACAGTCTCTAGGCTATGCCAGGCATTTTCGAATAAACCTAAGGGGTTGGTTAATGCTGGAAGTTAGCTGAAGACTCAGATTGTTTCAGCTGTCATCATTTTCTCATCATGTCATGTTAGCTTTCCCTAACATCTGACTCAAGGACCATTACTCATCTCACACATGCTGCATGTGGGTAGAGGTTTTGAGATCTGCCTTGTGCAAGTTTCCTAATGAGAATGATCAACTGTTACTGACCTTGAGGGAAGGAGAGCTAGGGAATCCAGGACATATTGTGAAAAATAACATTTCGATAAGAAGTGACAATTGGTCAAAGGTGATCATGAAAGGATGCTTAGAGTTCATCACCACGACTAACCAGCTGACCTGTTCTGGAGTGAGGGGATAAACTCAGGATGGCCCAGAAGTCATAACCAAACTATTTCTATTTCCTATCCTAGTAGGAAAAATGAATAGATTTCCTCAACCCCATTTTAATCTGTGAAGGAGCTTTGGCTTGACTTGAAGCTGAGGTGCCCCTGAATAAAATATAATCAAATATTGGTTCAGTCAGAATCAGGAGAGAAAGAAGCAGGTATTTTATTCAGCTGCCTGTTTTTCTAGGCTGTACCCTTGTGAAGAACCTTGTAGGGAGCTATATTCTACACGCCCCTCTTTAAAAAACAACAACAACAAAATATATCCTTTCTAACAGTCAGCATGATTTTATCTGCATTGCAGTGCTTATGTGGACTGTGTGTTACTGGGGCAATTCAAGCATGAGCTGCCTGATTTCTTGAGCTTGGCTAATTGCCCTGATTTTAGGGGCTTTGCTGGATGGTATCATTGCCCTGGAAGGGGAAGTCCTTCTTCTTTGTCTCTCTGACTTTCTGTGGGGTCTCCAATGGGTAATTCCAGCCCTCCTACCCACTCTACTACCATTTGCTCATACAGAAATACTGATAATAAGTCTCTAAAAACTAATCACTCTCATAATATCATTTAGAAAGCAAAGCTAAGAGATATGAAATTTTTCCCCCAGTGAGAAAGATTGCCTCTGTCTTCTATAAGGAACATGCTTTCCTTTGTTTTGTTATCCTTCTTGAAGGAATGCCTGGACTGCTGAGGTGTATTTACAGACAGGAGCTAATTCCAATAAATTCTATGGAAGAAGCCCTGTAGATTTTAAAGCAAGTTTTGTGTTTGTCCACATGTAACTACTGACATGTTAGGGCTAATCTTTTAGTGGTACCTTTACTTCAAGTTGTGAGAGCTCTTCAGGGATACACTTTTCATTAGGAAGACTGTGTACAAATTTTAAATGATCACATTATTGCTATGTGATTAATGTAATTTATCTAGAAAAATCCTCTCTGAAATCTTGCCTGATATAAAACAGCAATTGAAACTCTGACTAATTAAAACAATAACAAAAACAATTTATTAGTAAATTGTAAACGAATCTTTTTTAAATGCCAAAAGGCACATTCTAAAACTTCACACACCTTATTGAAAGCAAATTGCCATTTTTTTCTTTTTAAAATAAATGGATCAGATCCTTTCATTGAATTTATTCAGTTAAAAAAAAAAAATCTGCCCTTGAAAGGGCTTTCAAGCATTTGTGTGTCAGAAGAGTAGAATAGGCCCTGAATAAAAACCTTTCTGGATTTGCACCCCAGCTGCATGAGGGGAAAAAAAAATACTGGTCTGTAGTTATCCACAGGTAGATTTAATCAGCAGCACATTTTGCTACTCCAGAGAGAGAACTAAAGGCTTGTTCTTGGACTCACAGTCTCTAGCAAGCTAAACTGCACAGGCTCGTGTATAATGAAAACAATAAAAGAAAAGGAAACAAGTTTTAAACTTTGGCAGTTTATGGAGTAAAAGAAAATTTTGGTGCAGTAAATTCCCAGCTTAGATTTAGCTGAACATTTGCCAGTGCTGATAAGTAGAGGCCTCTTAAAAGAATTGATTCCCTACAACTGAAAAGAATGATTGACGTGCTTTGGATAATAAGAGAAAATGAGAAAGAAAATAAAAGCATTTATTAATAGAAATGCTTGATTTGCCTGAAGATAAATTATTGCAAACAATTAAAAAGTACTAAATTTTGTGTATGAGTCACAATAAGTTCGGGGATTTATGTCAAATCGAGGTTTTATTTCTTCCTCTTCTTGAGGGCATTATTCCAATGGTAAAAGGCCTACTATGTCATAGTGCTTAAACTGGATACATTTTGCCAGTTCTTCTGTTATCTTGTGTTACAAAGATATGTATCCAAGAGCCTTCAGAAAATGAGGAAAAGCAATAAATACAATGTTTAAGGTAAAAATCAAAAGTCTTTTTTCTTTTTGTTTGCCTACCCTATCATATTGCAGTTTTAAATATAATCTAAATAGAAAAGCGGTTAATGTAGTTCTTATTTAAAATATGCGATGACTGTATTTTATTGAACAGAGACACTGTGTGTCCCAGGAATCTTGAAAGTTAGGAAGAGTGGAGATATTTAAAACAAATGCCTGCAGATTCTAATGAAGGAAACACTGGAGGGTCAACATTTGGCACTGACTAACAGTAGGGGAGGTGACCCTGAAGATGAATTGATTTTTGTCCACTTTTTGACTCCTCATAATTTCACTTATGGTGAGGATCCCTTTGGGTTAAACCTTACAATGGAGACAAACTTTGTTTCTAAATCAGATATTTGTTATATGCTTTTGTTCCCTTTTATTTATCGATTTTTTATTTTTGGGTTGTGAACCTGTGGCCTAGAGAATATTTTTGTATGTGTGTGGCCAGATTTATGTCTGGATTTCTGATTTATGAGACTTTTCTCTCTCATTGCGGATAAACTCAACGTGAGGGGTTGTAGGATTTTCCAGGTTGAGAATGGCGTTTCCATAGAAACACTATTAGATGAAAAGTGCCCTGCGGGTCTGCCACTCTAAGGATGGAGTAAATGGAATGGAATTGGAATTGAATGCTCTAGAAGAGACAGATGTTGTTTCATTGGTTTTGCTTTTGGGAACAAGATCTGTTGGCGTCATCTTAGTGGCATATCTCTGCTTGCAAATTTGGAAGAATTACTTTCTAAACATTATGACTTATTATGACAGTGAAAAAGTACTTCTAATTGATATCTAGATAACCATTCTGTTGATCAAAGTGAGTGAAAGATCAAAAGGCAGATAGTATGACCTGTAGGTGCCACATAGAGAGCAGACATTTTGCTCCCTCCATCCATTTCTCTTTCTTTTTCTGTCACCTCTACATTGGGTCATTTTTAACAGTGAGTACATTACCTGCTAGCAGTCTTCAGCTACCTATCCTGAGAAGACACTCTTGAGAAAATGGTAGGGCAGGGCAACTATATTCATGAGTTCTTGCCTGAAATGTCAGTCAAAGTAATGCAATATATTTGAAAAAGGTAGTTCTTCAAACTCGTCTTAATTCACCTTCATTTTTATGTGCCTTAGCCAAGGGAAGTAGTTTATAGAGCTGGCAGGATGGAGATGGAACTCAGGGCCTTGTGAATGCTAGGCAAGTGCTCTAACACAGAACTACATACCTCAACTGAGCAGGTAACTTTGATACCTTCTTTATTATGTGTTATGTATCTGTAGATATACTATAAAATTAAGATACTTGAAATGCAGTATGAAGAAGAG